CAGAGAGAACACCAAAAGAGGGGGGTCTAACAAGGACCCACTTGACCGAGCTATCAAAAGATTCAGGATTGAGTTTTGAGTATTTATCAGGGTGTCGATAAGACCATATAACCATCAACCACAAGGAACCTCATCAACTGGATCATCGAAGAACATACACATCTGGACTAAAAACGAGAAACGATAGCGGAATACAACACACTCAAGTGCAAGAGAAACTATTTTAGCTGGCAAGTTCCATACATCAGCAATTTTTAACAAAGAGAGGAGGGACCACTCTGATTGGGGGAAAATAGTGAAATGAGTATTTGAGTAACTCAGTACTCATTAAACCTCAACACAAATGGCCAAACAAAGCCTCCTCAATCAAAACAATAATTCACTGCTCGGTAAATCCCAACTGCAAGCACAAACAGAAGGGACCGGTTATGTGCTGAAAAAACCCATATCACCTAAGAAATCACTAGAGATGCAAGAGACAAGATTGAGAACCCCCATTTTTATTGAAGCACATTACCATGTGGTCTACACATTCATTCACCAAGAAGACCAAGAAAAAAGGTGCACAGGGATGCATACCGGACAAGCCTTAGAAGTTTCCAAACTAACCCTCTGTTACTGTCACCATGTGGTCTATACATTCATTCATCAATAATCAAAAATCAATCTGGCGTGATAACCAAGGAAAGTGGCGAGAAGATAAGTAGCAGAGGAGCACTTTGCAGCACTATCAAAGATCCAGAATTGACTTTTGACTTCGTCCGGTACTGCCCATAACACCATAAAATACACCAGAATCATCAAAGAACACGAGCATTTGAACTAACAACTAAAACTAACTGGCAGCAGAAAACGCTATACACACTTGTGAAAAGAATTATCATAGTTGACAACTTCCATATCAAAACAGTTTTGAACAAAGTTATGAGATACTGAAAAATCCAATACCTTTAGTCACAGACCTGGGAAAATGCTGGATCTTTCCCGACCACAAACAACGAAGCAAGACACTTGTTACTGTAGAACTACTTCCACCTAGAGATGCACATCTCTGTATTCTTGACCAAACAAAATAACAAGGTAAAGAAGTTGATGCGACACATTATTAGCATCAAAATTAACATTAAGATGGAAGTCAAGATATCAAATCCAAACTGATAGCTCCCATATGGTTGTGACACACATGTCTAGAATAGAAGATCCATGCCTAGAGAGCCAAATTTCCAATTCTACTTGCGTTGTGATTCAACAAAAGGAAATTGCTCGGTTTCAGAGTAGTAACCAGGGTGACACCAACACATGAATTCTCACAACAAAAACCTCAGAATTAACATTGAGACAAAGGTAACAGCAAGTGTAGAAGGAGAATCGGTCTCCTATCATCATTACCCATACCTGATCAAACAAACAACAATAATTAATCAATAAATTAGGAAAAGAATAGAACTAATTGCAAACGAATAAATAAATTAGCCCCAAAAAACAGAGCTAATTGCAAACTGAATCACACTAAAAAGTCAAGAACTCCCAAAACCCCCAACATTCCTTCTCTACAGAGATGTGATCAAAGAGTTGCAAATAAGAAACATAACCAATCGCTCCCCAAATATCAGTATCTTCGAAAAACAAAATTCAAAAGTACATGACTTGAGATTTATATAATTCTGAGATGGCCAAGAAATCAAAACCCAACCAATCGCTCCCCAAACGAAGGCATCATATACAATAATTGCTCATATCTTGATCAAACAATAATTACCCATATCTTGATCAACAACAAACCATATCAACAATCAAACACTGCCTATATCCTCAAGATACTAAAAAAAGAATACCAAATCATATACAATAACAGCCCATTTCTTGATCAAACATTACTACCCATTATCCTGATCAACAATAGTTACCCGCTGTGTTGATCAACAATAATTACCCGGATTAAAAATAACGATAAGGCACAATAATTACCCAATATCTTGACCAAACAATAGTTACCCACAATCTAGATCAACAATAATTACCAGTATCTTGATCAAGCAATAACTATCCACTATCTTGATCAACAATAGTTACCCAGATCAAGAATAACAATAAGGACAAATTTCGCAATGCTTCATCAAGTGCTTCTTCCAGAGTTAAACTTCCATTAGTTCATGTTTTGAGAAAAAGTATTTCCTCTCTTTCCCGTAACTCAAGCTTTATCACATCCAAGATACTAATCCACAGATACCAATCCCAAACCAATAAAAACCAAATAAGAATGTGAGATAAGCCAAAGAAAGAGATACCCAACTCATCATAAAAACCCGAACAGAAAGCTACTTCACACCTATACTAGTTGAAATATTACCTATAGACCATCTATATTCAGTAACTGCATTTTGCACAAGTGAGATGAGACAATTATTTTGAGAACATTCCGTTCTTACTCATATTAAAACTGGATCTCCGACACTGCTAGGTGCACATAGATTAATAAATTACTACACATTCTAGGAGAAAGCACATTAGATACTACTGAGTGACTAGAACGCTCGAGTGTAGCTGAACACACCCCCACTCAATATAACCAGAAGAACTTGTAATGTTAATCCGAAAATGTTAATCCAAAATAGATATTATAATACTTTGAACATGCAAAAGATGACTAAAACAGGTCAATGTAAAAACAGGAATCCAAGTGATCATACCAGGACCTTTTTCTGTTTAACATAATCCACATCATACTGACCTTTTCTATATAACATGCTCCTCAACAACTGATTTACCATCCTCCCAACTTCTCTCCACTTTAGGAGAGCAAATCCGTTTATATGTTACTGAATTTGTGTATTTTAGCCACAAAAAAAAAATAAGTCCTTCAATCCCAGCGCTATCAAAATAGCTACAAGGACTTGAGAGAAAAGAGGAACATTCTTTATCTGGCGAGATTGGACAACTGGAGTTTAAAGTGAAATACCCCACTCAAATTATTTGGCACATTTGGACAAATTTGGACAACTGGAACTTAGAGAAAACAGAAATACCCATTCAGTGGCCTTATTTTAAAAGAAATACCACAACAAACTGAAGCCAAAGAATCCTAGCTACTTCAAGATGCTAATACCTTCCTCAACTTAAAAAATAGTACACTGACATCTGTAGTGCTGTTTTACAGGTAAGAGATCAAAATCAGCAAATACAACAAATGCTCTAAATACCAAAGTCAAACATTATCAAAACCACTGTAAATGACTTTAACAGACTGCTTCTCAGAAACTCCTTGATATTGTCTAAGTTGCACGGACTCTTCACTTTCGATGCCACACCCATGTCGGATTATCCTAAAATACAGTACTTTTAGCGAATTTGACACGCACCCCGTTGACATTTTTGAAGATAGGATATTGTCCCCTTATCATGCTGGGTGCAGGAACCCATCTAACGGGGTGGACAATACAATATAACTGTGAAAATAAAGACTTGTAAGCTTATGGGTAGATAAAGACAACCTGAAGACATCAGAGGGAGACCTATTCGTGATTTTGAACGAGTCAATCGCCTAACAAAATGGAATATAGAGAGCAACATCTACAAGGGAAGGCTCAAAAACTTCTACTGAATAGTGTTCCAGCGGAGAAGATGCAAAAAAAGATAATTTGTTGCAGGTAGCAGAGACGAGGTTTACTTCGTTCCAAAGATTATTGATATCCAAAAATAGAAACTGCATGGTCTATAACCTTACCATCATTACCTCGGGTCGAACCAGAAAGGAATTGCCATAACCTAAACAGGAAGTCCTTGGATGCCTCAAGAAACCAACAAAAGTGAGAACTTACCTCCAAGTCAAACTTCAAAATAAATCTGCAAAACCCAAAAATAGATACTCTTCACCATAAGCTCACCCTTCAGGTCTCACTTCCTGCACAGGAGGCCAAGCATTCTGCCAGACTTTCTTTTTTGCAACTCACAGATCTGCTCATATTCCATACCTATATAGCAAAATCAGAAAATTTACGGATACAACAGCACCAACAAATCCAGACCTATCCAATTCAGTAAATACTATAAAATCATCGACCGTCACTGGTCACACAAGACTAGTTGCATTATGGCAGAAACCTCAAAAAAAAAACCTCCTTGACCCCTCCGCCCAAGCTTCCAATAGCCACAACCAAGGAGCAGAAACCCGCATCGGGGACAAAATTAATCCCACCGGATCAAATAAGACAACGGGAAGGAGAAAACAACTCGAGTTGCCAGCCCTCCCCATTACGACCAAGAAGGGATGTTTATAGAGGGCAGCGGGATGAAATAAATGAGTATGACATTAAAGTAGAGGTATCAACTCCAAACCACCAAAGACAGTTGCAACTTTGTGAAACACGTAAGAACATTCTCATTATCACTTTATGCAAAACTTAATTAAAATCTTGCCCACGTTGATCCACCATAAACATCTCTAACCATCATGCAGAGGAAGTTAACGAACAGCTTTACCCACATTAGGGGGAGGGAAGAAAGAAGATAGGTCTAACCGTAACCTGACTACACAAAGACTCCCAAGAGAACTCCTAAGTAGGCTGAATGACTGAAATCATAGTTGGATCTCTCTTTACCAAAATGTTATTTCCTAATGATGCAACAGAGAATCAGGGAAAATGATAAAAATGGAAAACCCCTCTATAACCATACAATACCTCAAGTACTAGACACAAGAGCCTACGATTTGTCTCACTTTAATATAAGCACAAATGAAGTTAGGAAAGTTAACCAAATTTTATATGATTTTTGAATATTTTAAGTTGTTAATATTGTTATCTATAATATTCTTTTAACATAATTTTCAAATAATATATGTTATTTCCTTTGTCCTAATTTATGTGACACACATAAAATTTTGAAAGTTAACTAAAATTTTAGTATATTCTTTAAATATTTTAAAGTATTAATTATTACTACAATTTATAATTATTGGAGAAATTCTTCATGAACAACCAATGATATAGTGAGGGGAAAAAGTGAGATAATACTTAACAGTTAAAAGGTTTTCTGGTCCCCACTAACTCACATGCGGAACTGATAGAATTAAGTACAATGACGAAGGATGAGAGGATAATTTAGGCAATACACATCTAAACTTCCCATAATAGCTACAGAAAGATTCTTTTCAAACTTATCAGATTATTCCATCTTACAGAAAATGACCAAAATACCTTCCAAATGCCGAAAAGGCATGTTCAACTGGTGAATGGAGAGCTATATTTGATGAATGAAGGAAAACACAACATCATTTTTCAAAACTGTCGAAACTTGGTCTAGTTAGGGCTTTTTAGAAGATCACTTTTAACTTGTGCAAGGTTACTAATAGATCACCAATACAAGAAAACCAAGGAGCAAAGAACAATTCCTGAAATAAGAAACGAATTATAGCTGGTAGTGCAGATCTGTGAAGTGACATTTGAATGAACAAATTATCTGTTTAGTGACATATTAGGAACACGGTTGACTAATCATATTAGGAACACGGTTGGCTAATAATACATCAACGATATAGCAAGAACATGGAGAATAAATACCTTGGATACAGGTAAACTTCTCAATGGATTCTCTGTCATCTCTTTCTTTTCTTTTCGTTTCATTTAATTGTTCTATGTTCTAGTGTTATATGATAATAAGATGTTTAGAAATCCGAGGTGCCAAACGACTTCGTCGGTAAGAGCTCTTTGGATTCATCAGCCTGTTATCACTGGCGTACCTTTGATCCGTTGAGCGAGAGCCCTTCACACGGGACTCCCGGATCACTATGGCCTATGACAGAACAACAATGTTCTATAAACAATAGCAATTTCAATAGTATTAAGAAAATTAGTACAAAACTTAACTCAGAAGAGTACTTAGAAGAACAAGATCCATTGATAAACTTCCCAACTTGCATGATGATCTGACATGTAATGGATTTACAAGGATATCTCATCAGAAAATATTTTACACAAAAAAAAATAGTTACCTCTGTGTTGATATAAATAACATAAAGAGTGTAAATGGCATGTTACACAAATGATGAGCCAAGTTTTTTACTTCATTTGTTCGAGATTCAATGGATAAGCTCGGTCTTTGGTGCTAAACACTGTTCAAATGACAATGTTTTACGGAGGAAAAAAGTGTGCAGGAACTCTCTTTTTATATTATAGTTCTACATAATAGCTAATAGTCTGAAGCAACTCCTCAAAGGATTGAATATCTGAAAATAATATACATGTTTCAAAAAAATAGTAGGGGAGAGATCTCCAACATAAGAGACCTCATCAGTTGGATCATCTCAAAATATAAAGCATCTGGACTGAAAGCTGAAAATGCACCTGTGGAGAGAGTTAACGTAATTGAAACTTCCATTTAACAGCCCTTCTGACAACCAGATAAGGGGATCTCTCTGACCAGGGAAGAAAACTGAATCAAAAAGTTAGATACTAATACAAGGACTGAACTCACGAAACTTCAACACTAAGACAAACAAGGCTGCTCCATGAAAGGAAGACTTCAATGATCTTGAAAGATACAACAACACAAGCACAAAAGAAGGGAACAGTTAAAGCGCAGGCTGCGAAACCCATGCCACATAGAAGAGATCACTAGAGATGCCAGACAAGATTGCATAACTCCCTTGACAGAGCCTGATGATATCCAAATTGCAGTGCAAGCACAAGTACCAATATGGCAAAGGAACAGGGTACACACTGAAATCAAACTTCGAAATTACCAAATCTGATGTAATCTACAAACATGCATCCAAACAAACAAAATCAAGTGGCATGACAAGCATAAGAGCAGCAAGAACACCAAAGTAGAGGAACTCTTGGGACCATAAGAGGATCTAAAATTGAGTTTGGGTACTTCTCAGGTGCACATGAAACTCAGGGATCTCACCATTTGGATCATCCCAAAAAAAATAATTGACAAAGAGAAAAGGGGATCATCCCAAAAAAATAATTGACAAAGAGAAAAGGGACTCGTTGATTAGGAACAAAAATTGAACTGAAGTTCATGCTCTAGAAGACCCAACGGTTACATGCACAAAAAGAACATAACAGGTAAGTGGAAACCCATACCACGCAGGAGAGATCACTAGATATGCCAAACAAGATAAGATTGCAAAGCACCCTTTTCTTGATGCCTGGTGATATCCAATATCCAGATAGCACTGCAAGCATCAAAATGGCAAGAGACATGATCAACAGGATGCACACCGAAACCAAACTACAAAATATCCAAATAAGTAACAGAACATGAAAAGTTATACGAACTGGTAGGCTATACTACCACCATGTAGCCTACAGACATTCATCCAACCAAACTAAATCAACTGGTAGGCTATACGAACTCAGAGAAGGTAAGTAGCGAGAACATGAAAAGCACAAGAGTGCATTACAGGGCCATCAAAAGAGCACGATTGAGTTTAAATACACTTATCATATGTTGTCCCCATAACCATGGAGATCTCATCAGTTGGATCACCAAAGAACATAAGCATCTGGACTATTGAAAAACAAATATGGCAGCAAAATACACCCTAGTGAAGCAGTGGAGAGAAGGGCACCTTTCTGATTAGGGAAGAAAACTGAATTGAAGATCTCAATAATCATTAGAAGCATCGAACAAAAAATCTCAACACAAAATTGACAGACCATGCCGGTCCATGAAAAGAAGAACCTATCCCTCTGTAAGACCCATCAGCTACAAGCACAGAAAAATGGAACAGTTCAAGTGCAGATCTAGTGAAGACCGTACCACCTCAGAATTCACCACAAATACCAAACAAAATGGAGAACCACCTTCGAAGCTTGATAATCTCTAGATTGTAGTGCAAGCACCAACATGGCCAAGAAACAGGGTGCACAGGAATGCACACTGGACACCAACCTTCAAAATCTTCCAAGTCATAACCTCTCAAAACAAAATCAAGCTAGCGTAATACACGAAGAATGAAGCAGAGAAAATGAGCAGTGAGGACACCAAAAGAGAAGACCATTAAAGATCCAAAATTGAGTTCTTGTCAGGTGTCCAAGGGACCATAACCATCAACCATCAAGAATCTCATCAAATTGGGCCATTGCATCTGGACTGAACACTAAAAATGGCAGTAGAATACAACACACACCAACGTTAAAATAACTATTTTAATTGAAAATATCAGAAATCATAAAAGCCTGAACCAAGGAAACCTCATAAATGGACAAAGAAAGCCGCTCCATGAAAAGAATATTTCATAGCTCTATAAGATGCAATGGTTGCAAGTACAAAAAGAAGATACAAACCCATATCATCCAAGAAATCACTAGAGATGCCATATAGACAAGATTTAAAACCCTTTTTTTGTTGAAGCCCTGACCAATATATCTAAATTGCAGTGCAAGAACCAAAAAGACCAAGAGTATACAGAGATACCATACTGGATATCAACCTTTAAAATCTCCAAATCTTAACCTCTATTACTGTCACAATATAGTCTGCACATCCATGAATCCAAACAAAAAAATAAGTTGTGATAACCAAAATATCTGTACCTAGAAGACCAGATGTAGATGACCACTTATGGTGCTGTCTAAAGAAAAAATCCAAAATTGGATGAGTACTTATCAAGTGTCCATAGCCATTACTGGATATCAACCTTTAAAATCTCCAAATCTTAACCTCTATTACTGTCACAATATAGTCTGCACATCCATGCATCCAAACAAAAAAACAAGTTGTGATAACCAAAATATCTGTACCTAGAAGACCAGATGTAGAGGAGCATTTATGGCGTTGTCTAAAGAAAAGATCCAAAATTGGATGAGTACTTATCAAGTGTGCATAGCCATAAGAGACCTTATCAGTTGGATCATCGAAGAACATAGTGTCTGCATTAAAAACTTCACGGCGGCAGAATAACAACACACACTAGTGAAAGATATTATCTTAGTCGAGAAACTACTGAAGAAAAATGAATCGAAAATCTTGATACTCATAAAAACTTAAACTAAAGAAACCTCAACACAAACTGGCAAACACGGCCACTCCATGGAAAGAATAATTCACTGCCCTGCAACCAATGGCTGCATGAACAGAAAGAAGGGAACAGTTAAGTGCAAATCTGAGGAACCCCAAATCACCTAAGTAATCACTAGAAATGCCATAGAAGAGACTGAAAACCCCCTTCTGTCGAAGCCCGGACAATATCCAGATTGTTGTGCAAGCACCAAAAAGACCAAAAGGTGGCAGAGGATCACATGTTGATAAACCAAGCTTTGAAATTTCTAAATTTTGAACGTCCATAACAGTGTCATCATATGATCTACTACACATCCATTCAACCAAAACAAATCAGTGTGATAACGAAAAACCTATGGAAACAGAGAAGATAACTAAGTAGCTAGAGAATTAAAGTAAAGAAGTATTTTACGCCACTATCAAATGAGATCTAGAATTGGCCGAGTACTTATCAAGCATCTATAGCCATAGAAGACCTCATCAATTGGATGATCAAAGAACATAAGTGTCTGGACTGAACTTCACGACAGCAGAATACAACACACACCGGTGAAAAATAATGCCCTAGTTGAGAAACTTCATACAACACTTGTTTTGACAAAGACAAAGGCCCATTATGGAAGAAAATTGAATCCAAAATATCCATAATTATAAGAGACTTGACTAAAGAAATCTCAAGCAAACCAACAAAACATAGCCGCTCCGTGAAAAGAAGAATTCACTGCTCTGTAAGCAATGGCTGCAAGAACAGAAAGAAGGGAGCGGTTCAGAGAAAACCTGACAAACCCCAAACCACCTGAGTAATCACTGGAGATTACATTGACAAGACTGAAACCCCCCCTTTTGTCAGAGCCAAAAAACATCCAACTTGCAATGCAAGCACCAAAAAGACCAAAAGGAGGCAAAGGATCACATGTTGGTTAACCAAGATTTTAAATTTCCAAATCTGAACGTCCATAACAGTGTCACCACATGGTCTACACATCCATTCAACCAAAATTAGTGGGATGACAAAAAAAAATGAAAGCAGAGAAGATAAGTAGCTAAAAGAACAAAAGTTGAGAAGTATTTTATGCCACTATCGAAATATTTTACATCACTACCAAAAGATCTAGAATTGGTCAAGTACTTCTCAGGTATCCAAAGCCATAAGAGAGTAAGAGACCTTATCACCATAAGAGAACTTATCAATTGGATCACCATAAGAACATAAGCATCTAAACTAAGAACTTCATGGCAGCAGAGTACATCACACATTGGTGAAAATAATGTCCTAATTGAGAAACTATGTGTGAAAATAAAATAATGTCCTAATTGAGAAACTACCATAAAAGACAAAGGAGTCAATAGGGAATACAACACACATTGGTGAAAATAATGTCCTAATTGAGAAACTATGTGTGAAAATAAAATAATGTCCTAATTGAGAAACTATGTGTGAAAATAAAATAATGTCCTAATTGAGAAACTATGTGTGAAAATAAAATAATGTCCTAATTGAGAAACTATGTGTGAAAATAAAATAATGTCCTAATTGAGAAACTATGTGTGAAAATAAAATAATGTCCTAATTGAGAAACTATGTGTGAAAATAAAATAATGTCCTAATTGAGAAACTACCACCAGTCTCCTATCATCATTACCCATACCTGATCAAACAAACAACAAATATTAATCAATAATTTAGCCAAAAAAGACTGAACTATTTGCAAATTGAATCACACTAAAAAGTCAAGAACTCCCCTAACATTGAAGATCAAAGAGTTGCAAATCAGAAACCTAAGCAATGGCTCCCTAAATATTGATATCTTTGAAAACCAAGATTCAAAAGTACATGACTTGAGATTGTATATAATTCTAAGATGGCCAAGAAATCAAAAACCCAACCAGTCGCCTCCCCAAACGAAGACATACCCATATCTTGATCAAACAATAATTACCCACGTGTTGATCAACAACAATAACCCATCATCTTGATCAAACAATAATAACCCATCATCTTGATCAACAATAAACCATATGAACAATCAAACACTGCTTATATCCTCAAGATACCAACGAAAGAAGACCAAATCATATACAATAATCTACAATAACTACCCATATCTTGATCAAACATTATTACCCATTATCCTGATCAACAATAGTTACCCGCTATCTTGCTCAACAATAAGTATCCAGATTAACAATAAGGAGCACAATAATTACCCAGTATCTTGACCAAACAATAGTTACCCACAATATTGATCAACAATAATTACCAGTATCTTGATCAAACAATAACTATCCACTATCTTGATTATACAATATTTGGCCTGTATCTTGATAAACAATAGCTACCCAGATCAAGAATAACTATAAGGCACTGTAATTACCCATGTCTTGATCAACAAAAGTTACCCATATGAACAAGCAAACACTGCGTATACCCTCAAAAACAATCAACGAACGGGGTTTTTGGACCAAGAAAGAATATTTATAGGGTTGATGTATATTTAGACTAAGAAAGAATATTTCAAAGGCGGTGGCATTGGGTCGGTGTTTTTCAGAATTAATTTAGCCGTTGTACGCGTTTATTAATTTAGCCGTTATACGCATTTTTAGAATTCAATTTAGCCGTTCAACAAACTAAATTTTTGACTATATATATTTTATATAATTTATTTTTAAATTATTTTACACTCAAAGTCACACTGGTTCATAGGAATGGCAATGAAGCGGGGCAGGACGGTTGCGGGGCAAACCCGCATAAACTCGAGAAGATTTCAACCCGCTCCACCCCGCATAGCACAAAATTTTGTTTTCAGTCCACCCCGTTCCGCCCTACATAGACCCACCCCGCTCCGCCCCGAAATAACATTTTTAAGAAAATAACTGTGTTTGACACATTAATAAAATTCATCAAATTGAAAACTAACACATTTGAATAATTTTACCACGACGTAATAAATATGTTATATACAGTACCTCACAATATCCCCAACTTATAAGAATTGGAAACGTCCAAAACAGGGACAATTAAATTGGAGACCAAAATGTGATGCCTTTCAGTGATTATAAAATAAAGAGTTATGAATATTATAAGAGTTTTTTTTTTAAATGATGAATATTACAAGTGAATAAATTAAGATAAAATTGAGTGAAGATCAGTATACGATTGAAGAATTTCTTTTGAAAAAGATTAGAGTGAAGAAAGAAGGACATGGAAAGGGAACTGTTGAAATGTCTTCTAGCATATTCAAATAGTTTATGTTTAGTAAAAGTAGTAAAGTAGAACTAATTCACACCCGCATGAAATCCCTCAAAAAATATTTCAACCCGCCTCATTGCCATCCCTACTGATTCACTTTCAGTGTCAACTTTAGTGAGTTTAGCATTGTTACTAAAATTAGTGAATTAGCTCGTGCTTCATGCGATTATTAACAAATTCGTATCTAAATTTTTATTATATATTTTTTATTTTTGAATATTGAAATAATTCAAATATAATTTTTTAAATCTAAAATGAGTTATTGTTACTTTATATTTTGAAAAATAATCTGAACACAATAACTAATTTTAATCCATAAGCATTTTGCAAAACTTTTAAACTTTTAAAAGCAAAACAAATGTCATTCAAGATAAAGCACACCTCTATATTTTTATTAAAATATAAAAGGTGGATGAATGAAAATAGCATATTATGTACCAAAATGAACAAAGAATTACAAAAAAAAAAAAAAGAGAGAAGGGAAATGTCAACAAAAAAAAAGTGTAACATATATCGCATTGTTGGAATGCTCCTAAAATAATTAAACATAAAATTATATATAGTTTCCGTATTCACGTTATATAAACGACTAATAAAATTCTTTTGAAAAGTATATATTTATAAGAAAACAGATTTTCTTATCATCAATATTGAAACAGTATATATATCATTATTATCGAGCATTGTACTATTTTCTCACACATTTTTACTTAGAAAATGTTTCTTATATTATTTATATGTTCATGACTAATATGATAAACGTCGTTAATTGTCATGACTTTTCATATTTTAATATATTTAAATTTAATGTAACTTATCTTTTAAATATCAATAATTATTAGTTTGTTACTTATTTTTCAATACAAAATAAATATTGCATTGATCACTCTATTTTTCTAACAAAAACGTGATACAAGAAAGTAAAAAAAATAATTATGAGAAGGCAGTTTTTATGCAATATTTTGTGTTTTAACTCTAATATAAGGAAAAAATTCAAAAATCTGAGAAAAAAAAGATAACATTAACGATATAGGAAATTCAAAAAGACATAAAAAGGAAGAGTAAGGAAGGAAAATTAATAGCATTGATGATGAAAGGAATTAAATGTGCTCTTAATTACAAGATCATTCTTTCCTTTTTTCTCCTTACCATTTGATTAATTTTTTTATTACTAAATCAATTTCGGAAATTATGAAACAAATTAAGATTATATTTCACATCTGCAAAAAAGATGAAGTTAGTTGCTGGTTTAGTTGGAGGTGGAACAACATCAAAAAGCAAATACCTTTGTTAGATGATACAACACTTCCACAACCACGGATGGAGCACATTAATGACCCAGAGGAAGATAATGAGCTACAGCAAGGAGAAGGGAACAAGAAACATGGGAGCAACGGAGAGTAGGATTGGAATTTATGGGAAGCTCTAATTTGGAAATCATATTTCAGGGGAAGACTAGTGATGTACCGTGAGTTTACGGTACTAGTGATACGTTTCACTTGGGATTTGTGAATGTCTAACGCATTTTTGTGTTAGTTTTATATGTTTTTTGTTGTAATTTCAGGAAATAAACTCAAGCGTGAAAAGATGAAGATGTAGTTGAGGCAAGTGCTGAAAAGAGTCACCTACGGAGGCACCTACGGACCGTAGGATGAGTGACGCCCCGTAGATAAGGGTCGTGGGACGACCAGGCATGGCAAGATTGAAGCTCATGGAAATCTGACCAAGTGTGGAACCACGGTGGGGACTGACGGACCGTCGAATGACTTACGGTCCGTCCTGCAGCTCCGTAGAAGTGATCAGAGGAGTGGTTCCAGTACCTGAGTTGAAATAATCTAAATATAGAGCGACAGAGGTGACTGACGATCCGTCGTCTCACTGACGGACCGTGCTGCTGGTTTGTGGAAG